AAATCCTGCTTAGACACTTACTAACTACCTGACCCCAGGCAGGTCTCTTAACCTGTTTTGGCCTTTGCTTCCTCATCGGTAAAATGAAAGGCCCCAGGGTCCTTTCCAACACTAAATCTGTGATCCTGTACTATTTAACATTTTTATCAATGACTTGAAGGCATCATTGGAGTGCTGATCAAATTTGCAGATGACACAAATCTTGGATAGACACTAACATGTGACACTGCACATTTTGAGCACCTGGATGAATTGCAAGGCACTTTGCTGGAGTCTGTGGATTGAAAGACAAGAAAACAAAGCAGTCCCTGCGCAAAGATGGATGCAACATGCACACAGATAATTAAACATGAGATAATTTGAGGAGGAAGGGAACACAAATGGAGCCATTAGTATTCAAAAAGATAGAATGCTAGGCAAAATCAAAGAAGATGAAATTTAATAGTAATAAATGTAAGGTCATACACTGGATTTAAAAAATAGCTTCGGAAATACATGATGGGAGAAGCATGACTGAATTGAAATTGCCCTGAAAAAAGACCCTCCCCTGGGGTTTTAGTAGACTGAATGCTCGGTGGCTCAGTGAATAGAGAGCTAGACTTGTAGTCAGGAAGATCTCAGTCTGAATCCTGCTTCATTCACTGGAGCTAGGTAACTCTGGGCAAGTCAATGACCCTCTCTCCACCCTGGTTTCCTCACCTGTAATAGGAAGATATTAATAGCACCTACTTCACAGGGTTGTTGTGATGATGAAATGAAATAACATGTACGGTGCCTTGTTAGGCTGCAGTGAGAGGCAGAACATTAAGGATTAAGAAGCTAACAGTTCTGGCCAGAACTCATCTGGAGGATTGTGCTTAGTTCTTGGTGACATATTTTAAGAAAGACGGACAAGCTGGGCAGAATGCAGAGGAAGACAAGCAGTATGATAAAGGCATCAAGGGAGACACTACATCCTTTGGGGGAACCTTTCATGAGTGGATAAAATACTCAGGAGCCATTTGCCTTTCCATCTATCACCCCAGGAGAAGTGGATGACATTCTTGGGGACACTCACTCAGCTGCTCTATCTAGGCCAAAAGCCTTGGGGGTAGCCCCAAGCAAAACAGGCAGGAACAGGAGATTTTTAAATCTAGAGTTGAGAAGATTGAGCTAAGACATGTTAACTGTCTTAGTCTCCTTGGCCCCAAAGGGCAAAATTAGGAGCAAGAAGGGAATTAACATTGCAGAGAGGTAGGTTGAGGTTCAGTATGAGGAAAGTTTCCTAACAATTAGAACCATTCAGAAATAAAACTGGCTGCCTTTGGAAGCAGTGAGTTATTTCTCCTTAACTACAAATCTTTAAGAGAAGGCTGAATGACTGTTTAAATATAGAATGTATTCGTGTTCAGGCACGGGTTGGGCCAGCCCTAAGGTTCTGCGGGTCTGGGTGACATCCTAACAATTAGAGAGCTCCAAAATTGGAATTGGAGGGTTTGGGAAGATACTGAGATCCCCTCCTGGAGGTCTTCAAGTGGAGACTGAATAACCACTCCTTGGAGATGTTGTTGGTAAGATTCCTATTCAGGTACAGGTAAGGCAAGACGACCTGAGGTCCCTTCAGCTCTAAAATGTTAGGATTCTACAAGTGTAGAATGGCCTTATGTGGGGCTGCCATAAAGTCTTTGTGCACATCTAAACTAAAATGACCTATACTGTAGGTGTGATGGCAGCAATCTGTAAGTGATATTTGAAAGCACATCTGTTAACATTGTAGACAACTGCATTACACAACTGTGTTCTTCTAGGCCCTGTGACAAAGGAAAATTGATTGTTGTAGATGAGGAGACAAATTGTGTCCTCTGGTCGGCCCACTTGAAATGTCTATCATGTGTGAGAAGAAAATTCTATTTGTTCATAAGTGGCAATGCTGCCTACACTTATACAATCTCCGTTATCAAAATCAAGTCAACAATCATTTATTATTACCTACTATGGGCCAGGCATTGCACTATGGTCTGGGGATCCAAAAACAAACAAACAAACAAAAAACCCAACAACAACAACAAGGGCAAAAGAGAGTCCTTACCCTCAAGATGCTTATAGTCTAACGGGACAGACATCATATAAACAACCAGGTACCAGTCAAGTCATTCAGGTCCAGTCAACCTGCATGGGCTATTTTTCTTATGTCATTTCATTAAATGCCTTTGCTTTGAACTAATTTTGTCATCTGGCTGAGTATTAAGGGTAAATACATCCCTGGGGGCTTGTGAGCTACGGATTTAGAACTAGTTGAAGAATTAGAACCAAAGAGTAGTCATTAATGAGTTGATGTCAGAGGGAAGTCTCTAGTGGAATGTCTTAAGATCTTTTATGTTATTGTTTAACTTTTTTTTTTAAATCATTGAGTTAAAAGCCTATTGCATTTGCAGGTAACATCAAGCTAGGAGGGTAGGTAACTAACACATTGAATAACAGTGCCAGGATCCAAAAAGATCCCAATAGGCCAGAATCAACCAATTAACAATCACCAAGCATTTATCAAGTGCCTACTGTGTTTGAGGCTCTGCAATAGATAGACACTAGGGAGACAAACAGAAAAGTGAGAGTCTCTGTTCTGAAGATCTGGCATTTCACAGGGTGAATCCAGCACATTCACAGGAACTAACTGAACAACGATATGGAACAGAGACATTTTTGCAGTGCTTAAAAGCTTGGAAAACACTTTCTATGCATCATCTAGGGAACAGACTCCCTCCTGACCTGCAACTCTTAGAATCCTTGGCTTCTTTGAAAACTCAGTTCAAGTGCTACTTCCTACTTGAGACCTTTCCTGATTTCGCCCCCACCCTCCCAGCTGCGAGTGTCTCCCCTCCTTGCAAAATGATCTTATATTTGCTTTCTTCATCTGTTGTTTCCCTTGGTACAGTATAGGCTGCTTAAGGGAGATTGGGGGACTGTTTCATTTTTGTTTCTGTACCTCAAGCACCTGGCACGGAAGACCCATTTAAAAAATGCTTGTTGATTGAATGACTGAGCCTCACAATAACCAAGTGAGACAGGTGTTACAGATATTATTGATTATTGATACAGATATTACAGATTTTTATATATTATTACACAGAAGGGCATTGAGGTTCAGAGAGGTTAAGCAGTCTGCCTTTTGTCACACAGATAAGAAGTATCAGAGGTTTTCCTGATTCCAAGTCCAGCACTCTATTCCCTATACCACATTGACTGAATGAATTGGGAATATCTAGCCTGGAGATGAAAGGATTTAGGAAAGTCTTGATAGGAGTATCTGAAGGGCTGTCAGGTAGAAGAGAGATTAGGGTCAGAGGATCAATCAGGAAGCAGTTATCTGTCAATAAGCATCTATTAAGCACCTTCTATATGCCTATTGTGTTAGGGACAAGGGATATGGAGACAAAAAAAATGAAACCCTCACTGTTCTTAAATAGTTTACATTCTCTCAGAAGAGACGTGTATATACATACACATACATATATATATTTAGATATATTATATGTTTATGTATATACAGAACAAATACAAAATAAGTAAAAGGAGGTTAAATCCTTTAGGATAGGATAGGTAAGGTCAGAAGATCATAGGTCGAGAGTTACAACGGGCCTCCAAAGCAATTGAGTCCAACTCTCATTTTACAGATGGGGAGACTGAGGCCCAGGGAGCTGAATGGAACACAAGTGAAGCAGGATTTGAAGCCAGATTCTCTATCATGAGTCAGTGCACTTCTGCTCAGAGGCAGAACAAGGTACAATGGGCAGAGATTCAGAGACAGTTTTATAGCAGGAAAAGCTTTGTTACGATGAAAAGTGTCCCCAAGTATAGTGCTTGCCTGAGGCTCAAGCCTTCAAGCGGAGGCTGGTTGACCATTTGTCAGGGATGTTATTAGAGGAATTCATGATCAAGTATGGGCTGGATAAGATGTTCTCTCAGGTCCTTCTAACTATGAAATCTTGCATTTCAGTGAAATATTTTTGCCAGAAAATGGGTAGTCTGCTGCTGGAGCATGTGCAGCTGGACTCATATTAGAATACATTAATAGGGCCTCTAAATGGAGGGCAACAGAGTAAAAGGGAAAGAGCCCTGGAGTTGGAGTCTGAAATTAAGGGCTCACGTCCTGGCTCTGCCATGTACTAGCTGTCTGACTTTGGCCGAGTCGCTTTCTCTATCTGGGCCTCAGTTTTCTTGTCTTAAAAATGAGAAAGTTGTACTGGATGACTAGAAGGCACCTTTCCAACTCTAAATCCATGAGGCCTAACCACTTCTTTCTTACATCTCTGATATTCCATGACTCTACAAGATGGATTCTGTTTTTTGGATGGTTAAGGTAGGGGCAATAGACTGACCAGAGGAAAGACCCACACTACCAAGCTTGAGCCCAGAAACAGTGTGAGCTAGGAAGGAGACTGTTTGTTCATGAGAAGGACATTGGCTCTATGGGAAATGCTGTGATAAACCACTAAGGAGAATGGCCCATCAAGAAGCCCAGGTATTTGGAAATCATTTCATTCCTTCCAACATACAAGGGAAGAAGGCAACTGTCTTTCTCAACTCTGAAGCTTGGAAAGAAAAAACCAGAAATCTTTTAGAAAAGAATGCTGCCAGGCAGCTAGGTGGTGCAGCAGATAGAGCACTGGCCCTGAAGTCAGGAGGACCTGAGTTCAAATCTGGTCTCAGACCAAACACTTGACACTTACTAGCTGTGTGACCCTGGGCAAGTCATTTAACCCCAATTGCCTTTAAAAAAGAAAAGAATGCTGCCCCAATTTTATCCTTATCTGGCATAGATGTGACAGTGTCCGAGACAGATCGTGATGGATAAGCCAAGAAGCTGCTAGAATTAATGGAAAACTCTGAGCCAAAGAAGACTTTGTTTCCCTTGGAGGAGCCTGCATACATGGGCTCAGTAGCACAGAAAATGGGTGAAGGAAGGAGATCACTTTCAGCTTTTAGACCAGCTTTCAGAAAAAAATCATGGTTTCATTACTTACCCAGTAGAGGGTAATCTTCTTGTCTGCTGCAGCTGAGAGATGACATACCAAACAGTCTGTTGGGAAGAAAAGAACATGGCAGATTCTGAACACTTGTTTGCTAAAAGTAGGTCTTAACATCCAGAACATCCCCACTTTAGCATAGATATTCTTCTTCCCTGAGAAGGTGGGAGGACCCTAAAAATGGGGGGAACATAAGGGTGGGATAAAAAGGTGTCTCTCCTTTCCAAGAAAAGGTCCAGGAGGGTTGGCAAATAAGATTTCCACAATTATTGCCTCTTCTTCTAGGGACACCCAACACCCAGCAAATTTTTCTAGAATCTCCCTACAGTGCAAATTTGCATCATGAGAGGGTTTAGGGGATGTGCTTTAGCCTGAATTTGTCACAGATTGGGGTCTTCTTTTGTCCTGGGATGTTCCATGACTCAGAAATGGTGTGGCTCCATTGTTCCCTGAAATCTTAAGGCAATATTAGAATAGTATGGCTTATTATACTAGGAACTAAGGACTGACTGCCTAAAACATGATGAGTCCAATCTTGGGCCTGGAGACCAGAATCCCATACTGCAGGGGGAAGGACCTTTATGCCATGTGCTATTCTAAACACTACCCCTGCGGAGGACAACCACAACAGGAGGGCCTGCTCCTTGCTGCTTTTATAAATCCCCAGGGGACATGAAACTTAACTAGATCCATCCCACAGGGTCCAGCCCCACAGCTGTCTTCAGGATGTTGGCTTAAAAGAGTGATCAGTCTTAAATCTATTCCCTCCCTGTGCTGTGCCCTAGCTTCCTGATTTCTGATGTCACAGATGTCTAATGGAGGCTCAGAGCTTTGTGTCCCTTCTCTCCTAGTTTGTGGCCAGGAAATCAAAGCAGCATGACTATTGGTGAGACTAGTCCTGGATGTTAACTTAGACTAACCAGGGGATCCTAACTTGTGAGTGTGTGTGTCTTGTGAAGCCTATGAACTCAGAATGTTTAAATATGCATAAAATAAAATACATAGGATTACCAGGGGAGGACAATTATATTGCAATAGAGTTGTCAAAATATTTTTAAAAACCAATTCATAGGCCTCTGGTTAAAAACCCCGGGTAGAATGATAGAAGACAAAGACCAAGTCTACTGGTGATTAGAACCAGACTTAATAACTGGCTGGCATATATGCTTTAAGAAAACTGAAGACACAGAAGTCAATCAGTGGGCAGCCTTCGCTCATCCCCTTTAATACTGATGCCTTCACTCTGTTGGTTTTCTCTCATTTATCCTGTGTCTATCTTGTTTGCACATAATCGCTTGTATATTATGGCTCCCATTAGGCTGTGTGCTCCAGGACAGCAAGGACCATCTTTCATCTTTCTTTGTGTCCCCAGAGCTTGGCACCTAGTAGGCTCTTAATAAAGGCTTATTGACTTGTTGACTTGAGTCACAGGGACTTTAATTCAAATGAAAAGATAAGGAGAGAAGATCTATGATCCTGAGTGAAATCAGCAGAACCCAAACTGTACAGACACCAACCCCAATCAGGGGGATCGTGACCAGGGAGGGCTATTTTAGTTGGAGAGGGATGGTGGGTGGAGGCATAGGAGAGTAGAATGACACATCCCTTCCAGCAGCAATGGCGGTGTTGATTTGGTTTCAGTTCCAGAACTTAGAAAGGAGCAAATGAAGACAGCAAAGTGGGCAGTCCCAAGGAGGTTGGTGAGGACAAACGTGGTTGAAGGAAAGAAAAGGAAAACGACAAAGGGGGTGGATCATTAAGCAGGTCTAGAAGGGGAAGACATAGAACAAAAGTCTTTAATTGCTTGTTGTTTGAGTTCTCACTGTTAATCACTAGAAGGCTCATTATGTAAGATCTTGCCTATTATTTCATAATAGCTTTTATTGATGATCAAGTTTGTTTTTAAAAGTTTAATTGGAAAAAAAGAGAAAATCTAACTCTCTCAAATGAGTTCAAGACACCTGACCCAGATAATTCAGCTCCCAGTGCAAGGAAAGAACCCTCAGATGGGCTTGCATGCTGCTCTGCAGTGAAGAACGGGGCACTAGCCAGGTGGAAAGGTCCCATGGTGCTTAGGGGGTAGTGACAAAGAAGATGGTCATGCTTCCTTTTTAACGTCATTTTCATTCATAAAATCATATCCGTTTCTAATGTTGAAACATTTGACAGGGACTTTGGTGGCAAGAACTTTCTCTTCTGGGTCTTCAGCAGTTTTATCTACAGCACCTGTGGGAACAGCTGCCAGGATGCTCCTACGCTGGAAGCATTGCTATTCCCCCGGCTCTTAAGGTTGTCTCCACTGGGGTCTGCAAAGAGATGGTGGTCAAGGTGTGGGGAGATGGTCTGACCCGCCTGGTGCATGCTGCCTCTTGTCTCCAGACCCTCAGGGTGCCTTGTGGATTCAGGTAGGCTGGCTGCCTGTTTGTGGGTGCCAGTTGGTTGGCAGTTGGGGAATATAGCCACAATATAGCTCCGCAGGAGCTACGTCCCCAGATGATGGCCATGATGGTTGGGCTAGAAGCAGGATCAGTGATCCGGGGGATGCTATGATTCATGGATCCCCAGTGCTCTAATGGCACTGAGTGAACAATTATTGCTGGTAGACGTGAGCAAGGTAGATGTCTGCCACTATATAATGATCTCTCCTTTCCAGGATAGCTGTAGGGGCTGGACTGGCAGCAGCTCTGAAGGTCTGGGTGGACCCTGCCACTACCAAGGCTCTTGGGCTCAGGGTCCTGGGCTGCCCCTGTGAGGATGCTGGGGAAGCCATGAGAAAGGTGGTGGTGGTGGTGATCTTACTTAGTCTGGCACATGCGACCTGCCATCTCACCGTTGGGGGACCTTGCTGCTTCAGCTGGACTTTGAAAGCCCTTCACAACCTGACCTGTTCATGCCCTTCTAGTCTTCTTACACTTTATTCCTCTCCATGTACTCCAGTGTCCTACTGGCAATTCCTCAGACATGTTGCCCTCTCTCTCTTTCCTGGCCTTTGTACTAGCAGGCCTCCATAACTGGGAAGCTCTGTTCTCTCACCTCTGCTTTAGTTTCCCTGGCTTCCTTCAAGGCCTGGCCCAAATCCTACCTACTGAGGCTCTCCCCTCCCCATGCCCTGCTAATACCTTTTCTTTGTAGATCACCCTCGTCTGTCTCCTCTGTCTATATCTTGTATGTACCTAGTTATTGACATGTTGTCTCTCGGGACTGTGTTTGGTGTTCTTTTGCCTATTGTTATAACCCTAATGCTTAGCATAGTGTCTGACATATAATAAAAGGAAGGAAACAAGCATTTATTAAGTACCTACTATGTGCCAGATACTGATCTCCCCAACAATCTTGGGAGGTAGGTGCTGTTATTATCCCCCTTAGATAGTTGAGGAAACTGAGGAAGACAAACATTTCACTCCCATTCTCAAGAACCTTCAATAGCTTCCTATTATTGCCTTTTGGACAAAGTATGAACTCTTCAGCTTAGCATTTAAAGCCTTTCACCTTCAGGATGTATTCTGTCTTTCTAGGTTTATTGCGCACACATACAACTCCCCAAAAGTATTCTACCTTCCAATCAAACAGGCCTACTTGCCACTCTCCTAACTCAGTATTCCATCTCTTGTCTTCTTGCCTTTGTCCAGCCTATTTCACATGCCCCCTCCACCTCTTAGAATCTCTGGCTTTCTTTTGGGTCTCTGCTCATGTGCCACCTCCTAAAAGAAACCTTTCCTGATCTTTCTAATTACTGCCAAGTGTTCCCACCTTTCTCGAATAATCTTGTATCCACTTATCCGCTTATATGTTATACAGTTATCCCTTCCACATAGTGACTTTGCCCATCATGATTTCGATATATTGCAGGCTGGCATAAGAAATTAAATGGGAATTTTGAGGTAGTTTTGCAGAAGTTGCAGACGACACACGAAAGTCAACAGGCAACACAGAAAATGTTTAGAAACTCAGAAATGCATAAGATTTATGTATAGTATTATGTAATATCAACCCAAATTTTACAAGAAGGTACTATAAACACCCCATAAAAGAAAAGGAAAAGACTCAGACTTCTTCTCTGGTACAAAGGGAGGGCCAAAAATGTGGAAGGGTTAACTCTACTGCCTGCTCTGTCCTGCCCCACTCCCCCAGTGGAATACAAGCTCCTTGAGGGCTGATTTTTTCATCCCATCTTTGTTAACCCCAGCACCTAAGTTGGCATCCTGTGTACTTAATGAATACTTGTTGGATGAAATTAGATTAAGGGGGTCAGCCAAGGACTCTTAGATGTGGGGAAGGAAATAGATCTTCCACTGAATGACACCAGTTAAGGCTGGTATAGGGACAAGTGAAGTGTTCTGATAGTTTATTCTTGGCTGGGTACGGAGGTCAATTGTCTCAGAAAAAGGGTACTGGGACAGACCTTCCTGTGCTTGATTTTTCCAAACAGATAATGGGAGGAGCTCATGGTGTCACACTCACACTTTCTCATTCAGGCCCAGGCACTGATAGACTGGTCCAGGCTCAGCAACACCTTTCATATGCTGCTTAGGGAGCTCTTTAAAAAAATAGGAGGGAAGGCTGCAGTTGCTGTAGGTCACTGAGTCACAGGTCACGATGCCAGGGTAGTACATCATCATCCGGGCAGCAATGTTGACTTTTTGACCAATGACTATGTTGTGAAAGAAAAAGAAAAGGAAGAGGGCAGAACGCCAATCGTTACATCTGAAGGTGATCTCCCTCTCAAATGACCCCCCAGATGGCATTCTGGCTTCTGGCACACACAACCCCCACACACTAGAGATCTGAAGTGCTCTATTATTTAGGCAATGTATCAGAATACAGATAATCAGCTTTCAATTATATAGCAAGGCAAATCTTCCATTTTCCTTATGAGGTCTGAGGTCTCTATAGAAACACTTGGTATTTAACCATTTCATTGGAAAATAATCCACTTAAGGAGAAGTGGATAATAGAATATATCATATTATGTGTTAAATACTAATATGACATTTATTAACATTTAATGATGATGCTATCCATTGTCATTTATACGACACATTAAAATTTAGAGGATGCTTTATAGATATGAAGGCATTTGATTCTCACTTTCCTCTGTGAAGTTGGTATTACAGATTTTGTTATCATCATCTTACAAATGATTAAATTAAGGTCCAGATACTTCAGGTGGATTGCTTGAGGTTCAATTCAATTTAATTCAATAAATATTTATTAAGCACCTACTATGTTCCAGGTACTGTGCTAAGTGCTGGGGATACAAATGGGCCAAAGACAGTCACTGCCCTCAAGGAGCTCACATTTTAATGGGGGAGACACACGCAAACAAATACAGACAAACAAGCTGTATACAGGATAAATAGGCAATAATTCACACTGGAAGGGGATGGGGAAGGCTTTGTGTAGAAGGTGGGATTTTAGTTTGGACTTAAAAGGAAGCCACGTTGGTCAGCAGGCAGAATTGAGGAGGGAGAACATTCCAGACGTGGTGGATAGCCAGAGAAAACATCCAGAGCAGAGAGTTGCTGAGGGTCTTGTTCATGGAACAGACGGGAGGCTAGTGTAACTGGATCGAAGAGTATGTGTCTGGAAGTAAAATGGAAGAAGACTGGAAAGGTAGGAGTCACACTGCCAATTAGTGTAAGGAGGGGATTTGAACCCGAGTCTCCAGACTCCACCCATTCTACCGTGCTGCCTCTCGTGGAATCAATACTGTATTTGTAGCCACATGAGACCTGAGCTGGTATTGCTGTGCCAATCCTTCCTAGCAGTCTGGTCATGGTTCACTTAAACTTTCTGAGTACTTCCTGTCTTTGTCTCAAAGACCCTTGATGACACCACCCCCCCCGCCCCGATTTCTCTTCCTTTCCCCAAGTCAACCCTTCTACAGGTGAGGAGCTTGATCTCACCTCCTGTCTTCTCCAGCAGATTTTTCCCCCAATCATCCCACTCCACACCTAATCTTCAACTTCTCCCTACATACTAGTTTGTTTCCTATTGTCTTCAAACATGAAACCCTATCATCCCCTCAGGTTAGCATCTGGTATCAAGAAGGAAGGAAGGAAGGAAAGAAGAAAGGAAGGAAGGAGGGGGAGAAGGAGGGAGGGAAGAAGGAAGGAGGGAGGGACAGAGGGAAGGAGGAAGGGAAATGAGCATTTATTAAACACCTACTATATGCCAGGCACCATGCTAAATGCTTTACAAATCTCTCATTTGATACTAACAACCTCAGGAGATACTATCGTGATCCCCATGAAATCTATTCTATGCACTCCCTGCTCCCCACCCTTAATTACCTTCTATTTATTCTCTCTCATTCTCTTTCCATATAAACACATATACACATACACGTGTGTATATGTGTGTATACATACATACACATATACATACATACACACACATATATATTTGTTTCTTAAGATTGAGGTAAGTTGATTGTTTCATTCTTTGTTTTTGAAATCCTAGTACAAAACTTAAAAATAGTAGGTACTTAATAAATGTTACTGACTGCTTGATTGGCTATAAAAGTGGGATTATAACACCTTTCGGTCTACCTCACAATGTTTGAGGAGAGCACTTTGCAAACCTCAAAGCACTATGGAAATGTGAATTATTATTACTTTTTTGAGGAAAGTCATGGAACTGGGAACATATAAATAAAGGGAAGCATAGTATTTGTATGCATGCATATTTTTTGTATCTTTTTTTGGGGGGGGGAGAAATCTCTTTGTGAGAGGGAAATGTAGGGTTATTCTTGGTACTGAGCTATCCCTTAAGAAAGTAAAGATATGTTTACGTCTTGACCCTTTTAAATTAATTAGTCCTGGTACTGCCACCCCCAACAATATATTTTCATACAGCCCTATATATTCCTAAGTGCGTACCTTTGCAACGAGATGGGCATGAAGAAAATTACATGCCTCGATTCCACCCAGAGGTAAAACAATCTATCATACCTGTGTACTCATGTCTCACAGAATGGCCGACAATTCCACAAAACACAATTCCGCTTGCCACCCCAATGGATACAACTCTGATGGCCAAGAGAACAACAGTGAGTTGGCATGAAGAAATGAAATGTTATTTATAGGAAAGAGAAAAATGGAAAAAGGAAATTAAGATGGGAGAAAGGAAAGGAAATGGAGAAAAAAGAAGAAAAAAATATCCTTTATACTTGATTCACTGATGGTTTTTACTGATAGGGGATTTTTTGGTTCCCCATAGGACTAGACATAGGGTGGTAATATGAGGATAGACCCTTGGTCACTGGGTGAAGTTTCTAGAAGTTGTACGTGCTTTTGTTGATTATTCTGCTTATTAAACATCTCATTTGCCAACCATAAAGCATTATATACATCATTATCATAGTTAGCATTTATTTAGTGCTTACCAGGCACTAAATGTGCTAAACATTTTACAATTATTATCTCATTTGGTTTTTAAAACAACCTTTGGAGGTAGATGTTATTATTATTCCCATTTTACAAATGAGGAAACTGAGGCAGACAGATTTAGTGACGTGCCAGGATTTCACAGCTAGTAAGTGTTTGAGGCCGTATTTGAACTCAGGTCTTCCTGATTCCAGGCCCTGTGCTCTGTGCTCTGTGCACAATGGCGCCCCCTCGCAGCCTCAGAAAGATGAGACTGATCATTATGAGGAGTCTATTGAATGAATTCCCAACATTATACTTGGAGGTTCCCATTTTTAATCTCTGACTTTAACATCTTTCCCTTCTACTCTGTCTTGTTTCAGTCCAGTCCAGCTCATGTCACTTCTCCTTCCCTTTCCACCCTGAATTTTCAGCATGTGTCTGCTGCCAAGAGGCAGAGTCTCTGTGGAACCTGGAGGCCCCCACTTCTCTTCCGCTTCCCCTTAATGCCTGTGCTACAGGGTCTCTCTGTGTGTGGAAAGTGTGGCAAGGGGATTGGCATTCCAACGACAAATTGCTGAAGACAAAAATTCTTTCTAGAGTGGCAAGTCCCCACTAAGTCTTTTTCCATACTCAGAATGCCCCACCTCCAGAGAAGGCAGGGAGGCCCAGTCCTGGGGATGTTTCTCCAAGTCAGTCTTGCTTTTCTATTGCCTATGCTTTCCCCAAGAAGGAGAGGAGATGGTGAAAACACAATTTAGCATAAAAGACTTCACAGTGTCTTATAATTTGCTAATTGTTTATTAGTCGAAGAATGTAATCTCCTTGAGGGCACTGAGACTGTTGTTTTTCATTTGGTCTTGCTATCCCCTAGTACCTAGCACACATAATAGGTGCTTAATAAATGCTTATTGGATTTGATTGTGCTGACTCATCTCCCTCATTAGATGATAAATTCTTCAGGGGCAGGTACAGTATCCCAAGACTTAGATTTCTTCTGTCTCCCCCTCCTTGGTTAGCACAATACTAGGCACACAGTTGTTGTTATTGTTGTTTGTCTTTCATTCTCAAAGAGGACCACGACATCAGGGAGGTGATGCTGTGACATGCAAGTGAATTGGATTTAAGTGAGGGAGGGCTGTGCAAAATCACCAGCCTTGCTTTCTCCTCTGGAGTCATCTGGATCCGGGGCAAGATATAGATCAGGAAGACTGGAGATGGCCCCCAGACTTCAGGAAAGACATAAGCAAAGACACAGGTATAGGGAATCGTGGACATATTTGGTTAGGAGGTTAATCTAGTGTGATTTGAGTGTAGAGGATGTAAAGGGCTTTAGTATAGAGTTGTAGACTGATGCCAGATTGTGGAGGACCGTGAATGACAGGCAAAGTAAACACCCAATGAATATCTGCTGATGGATTTTCTATCCTACTAATCTTAGATTGACAGCTGAACAACCTCCCTGACTACCACCTGCCAACTGCCATTAATGCCTCGCTGTAATTGTATTTGCAAGATTGTATTTGCAGGCATCTCTTCACATTGCCAGGAAAATGCAAATTTTTTTCTAAAAAAAAGTGCCTTGGATAAGGAATTATGGCATGATAATTCAATTTTGCTATTACACTGGCACAGCTGCAGTGGGTGGCCTCGTACATATACCAATACATGCACATATACATCTACTTTTCTAAGATGCATTGATAAGGATGTACAGGACTTTGAAAGTTAGGTCATTACAGGGGAGGGGAAAATGGACAGGTGGCAGGCAACACTTGAACCTCACTCTCATCAGAAGTGATTCAAAGAGGAAAGGAGATATACACACATACACACACACACAAACACACACACACACACACACACACACACACACACGCAGGCACGCACTTAGTTGGGTACAAAAATCTATCTTACCCAACAGGGAAGCAGGAGGGGAAGAGGATGAGCAAAAGGGCTGGGTGTCATGGTGATAAAAGGGAATGTCGAATAAGGGAGGCTATGGTCAGAAGCAAAATGATTTTTGAGGAGGGGTGGGCTAAAAAAGAGAGAGAGAGGGATAAACGAGAAAATGGTGGAGGGAAATATACAGCTAGTAATCATAACTATGAATGTGAAAGGTATGAGTTCAATCAAATGGAAATGAACAGCAGAATGGATTAGAAACTAGAATTCTACACTACGCTGCTTACAAAAGAGACCTATATACAATGTTAAAATAAAGGGCTGGAGCAGAATCTATTATGCTTCAATCGAAGTAAGAAAGGCAGGGGTAGCAAGCATGATCTCAGACAAGGCAAAAACAAAAATAGATCTAATTAAAAGGGATAATCAGGGAAAAAACATTTTGCTAAAAGGTACCATTGATAATGAAGTACTATGAAAAAAATTTTTATAGCAAGTTTCTCTGATAAAGGCCTCATTTCTCAAATATATGGGGAACTGAATCAACTTTATAAAAATAAGAGCCATTCCCCAATTGATAAATGGTCTAAGGATATGAACAGGAAGTTTTCAGAAGAAGAAATCAAAGCTATCTATATTCACAAGAAAGAATGCTGTAAATCACTATTGATTAGAGAAATGCAAATTAAAACTCTTAGGTACCACCTCATATGTATCAGAAATGACAATTGCTGGAGGGGATGTGGGAAAATAGTTATACTAATAAACTACTGGTGGAGCTGTGAATTAGTCCAACCATTCTGGAGAACAATTTGGAACTAGGCCCAAAGGGCTATAAAAATGCATACACCCTTTTGACCCAGCAATACCACTACTAGGTCTGTATCTCAAAAGGATGAAAGAAAAGGAGAAAGGAACTATATGTACAAAACTATTTATAGTAGCTGTTTTTGTGATGTCAAAGAACTAGAAATTGAGGGAATGTTCATTAACCAGAGAATGGCTGAACAAGTTGTAGTCAACGATTATGATGGAATACTATTGTACTACAAGAAATGACAAGGGGAATGGTTTCAGAAAAACCTGGGGAGACCTAAATGAACGCACGCCAAGTGAAGTGAGCAGACCCAGATCGTTGTGCATAGTAACAGCAATATTGTAATGATGATCAATTGTAAAAGATTTAGCTACTCTGATCAGCACAATGATCCAAGCCAATTCCAAAAGACTCATGATGAAAAATACTATCTACCTCCAGAGAGAGAACTGATGAACTCTGAGTGCAAACTAAAGTATAATTTTTTCACTTTCTTTTTTCATTTTGTTTTTTTTTTGCAACATCACTAATATGAAAATATTTTGTAGGATTTCACATGTATAATTGATATCATATTACTTGACTTCTCAGTGGGTGGGGGAGAGGAAGGAGGGAGAGAATTTGGAACTAAAAAATTTTGTTTAAAAAGATGTTAAAAATAAATATATAATAATTTTTTTAAAAAAGAAATTTAAGTTAAGCTAAATCTCTCTGCACTTGCTACAGTACAGGAAATTCTTTCACTTAGGTTGCTGTATATTTCACTTTTTGGAGCTGGACTTCCCATTCATTAAATTCATTTGCTTCGTTTAATTTCCCAGCTTGTGTGCCTACTTTCTTTTATCTAGCTCTTGTTACATTACATTCCCCTGTGAGTTAGACATCAAACTACCCATTAACTCCATGGATCAAAGTGTGAGTTAACTCAATAAGGACTGCCTCCCCCCAGCAGAAGGATACTAAATACTACAGACACCCTTGCTCCACCCCCTATCCTCCAACACTTTGTCTTCTATATATTTGTTAGATGCTTCAATAAGCCCTGTCGTGGGCAGCATCGCCCAGCAGATAGAGATGTCCTCTATTCAGAATCAAGATAACCTGGGTTCCAGTCCCAAGTCTAACAATACTGGTTATATGACCCTCTCAGTAGCCCCAGGAAAACTCTCTAACACTATACATACATTTCAAAGTCGGTGACAAATGTTTTGATAGAGGGCATTTCAGCACTGGGAATTTCCTACACCATGAAATAAGAGAGGCCCCCCCACAATGAGCCTTGAACTAGTTTAAATAGGGCTGTTCCCTGTCCAGAATATCAGGATTGAACCCTGAACTCTAAAATAACCTTTCTGATTCAATTCAAAGCATGTTTATTCAGATAGCATATGCCTGAATGCCCATTAAGAATAAGCTTAGGCATGGAGGACATAGCAAGATAAATAAGACCTGATGCTCTTCACAAACTTAGACTCTAACAGATCTTTTACACCAACAGCTAACACATCTCATCAAACTTGTCTCTTGCGCTTATCATGGAGACTTCTGCTCTGGCCCAATCCTGCGCACCATACAGCTATGAGCAGTATGGACAAAAGATGGCTACCCTAGTTCAGTCACAATTTAGGCTGGAAAAGATAGGGAGATTCTGAACCCGTTCTTCCCTGAGGCAGGTCTGAGAGAAGAAATTCATTCTCATATAAAGAAAGTAATTATTATTCTATAAAGAAGCCAGAACACTTAAAAAAAACAACCCCCAAATCAAAACAAAAAACCCCACAACTCAGAGAGCACTTGCGCTCTTCTTCGAGAAAACTTAGATTTACCATGTCCAATGGGGGGGGGGCCCCAAAACTATACTATAGTGATGGGATTTAAGGGGCAAGGAAAAGCCCACCTGCTCATAACGATCCCGTCAATTTACCCAGTCCTACACCTGAAATTTCACCATTAGTTTTCAATCTTTTTATTTTCCAATTTAGCCCCCAAGGGAGTGCAAACTTTTTTTTTTGAGATGCTAATGGTTTATAAAGCTCAAAGTTAGGAAGCTCCCTTTATCTAGGGTGGAGGATGCTCAACAATTTACACTCTTAATGAGTTGCCTGGGGCAATGAAAGATTAAGTGACTTGACCCAGGTTACAAGGTACAAAATCTGGGGCTGAACTTGAACCAAGTCTTCTGAATTCATAAAGGGAAGGAAAGTTCAAGAGGCTACCTCTCAAAGGGTAAATGCAGATTAAAGCTATTTATCATGCTAATTCTTGACTGTTCATTAACAAGTTAGCTTCAGAATTATGTTAGTTCATCAGATTAGCCAAAGATCACCTAGAGAAGGAGGGAATGGGTTTATCTTGAAAGACTAGATATAAAACTGTTAAGTCTGGAGGACAGGTATGAATTAAGCCTGTATAGAGGTCAGGATGGAGTGGGGAGGAGGACACTAATGTCATCTACACTGGAGCAACATGAAGGCAGCAGGAGCTCTAGGGACATGAGAAAGGAAATGCTGAAAAAGGAGGATAGGGGAAAGGAGCCAGTGGAGGAGGGGTGCAGGATTGGGCCTAGAAGGGGAAGTTGGAAATAAGAGGACACGGGGAGAAGGGAAGGGGAATGACTGGAAGGGGAGGTTGGCAGGGTAGATTGGCTCCAGAGTAACCCTCACTTATTTCCAAATTTTGCCTAGGGCTGGGCCTGAAGCCAGGCTTCATTTACAACTTTCCAACTACTTCCTCAACTTTGACCCAGCTGATGGCCTTGCTCAAGCTCCAGCCACAGTATCGGAGGCAAGGGGGAAGGACTGTACCCTGTGAATGCAAGCTCCAGCCACAGTACTGGGGGAGGAGGTGGCACTCCTATATCCTCGCTCCTCCAGAAGGGCTCCACAGAGGATTTATCCAACGTGCTAACGGCCTTTTTCTGATCTGAAATATCTTTGGATACCAGCTCAACGCTCTGCCTAGCGGTCTGCTGCAGTTCTGAACTCTGAGCAGCCCACCTTTCTTTCTCAGAGAACAGGTAAGGAGCCAGGAGAACATTGAGCAGAATAGAAAATGTGCCTTCTGCTGGCCTGAACATATGTATACAAAATACATGTCTAATAAAAGGGTATCAACTCTTTCTCTGCCCTACCAATGTCACCTCCTTCTCCTCAGTTACCCTCATTGCCCACTATTGCACGGGGACTGCAATGCAAGTCCCCATTGGTAGAGTCGAGTGAGTAAAGGATCCCCATTCCCTTCCCAAATCCCAAATTTTCATTCCATCTCCCAAGACCATCCAGGGGAACTTAGCTCTCAGCACTCACTTGATTTTGAAGATCTGAGAACAGTAGTCAAATATGACCACTGCACTTTCCAAAGCATGGGTAATTTCATCAGGTGCCTTTTCCCCAGGGAAACCAAATACACAGAGAAAGGAGCATCCCTGTTGGGAGGAGAAGAAGCAAGTACAGTGAGTTTTCCGAGTGCTAAGTAGATGGTCTGCAATCTTCTAAGGCAGACCTTTTGATGACTTTCTTCTGTTTTGCCACAAATAATTGGTTGTCTTTCCCTCGAAAAGATAGCATTACTGACTCAGTCTTAACAGGTAAGGGGATGGGAGGATCATAGATCTGCAGCTGGGAGATACCTCAGAGACCTCCTTCTGCAACCTCCTCATTTTACAGAGGAGGGAATTGAGGCTAAGGGAAGTTAAACGCCTCACCAAAGTCACACGGGAGCGTCAGGCAGCGTTGGAAACTTGGTCCTCATGCCAAAAACAGCACTTAGTTCTCTGAACTGTACAGTCGGTGCTGTTGCTTAGCTTTTTGCAAGTTTTTTTCTCTTTCTTTTTTAACCTTTGTTACTGATGTACTTTGAGTTCTCTGGCCCCACAACCTGAAAGCAGAATTTTATCCTCTTACTGGCGGCGGCAACACCAGCCATTTCATCACTACAATTCCAAGATGAGATGAGAGCCTCAGAAAAACCAGATGTTATATCAGCGAGGGCTCAAGGTGACAAGAGAGATATACTATGATTGTGATCTTCAAAACAAGGTGTATATTTTGGAAGGAAGATAGGTAAATTAAAAGATACATAAAGAACTATAGTACTGTCAATGCAATTCTACTTCATTCAGCCTATTCCCGTGATCATCCAGATTCAAAACACAACCCTATAGTTTTTTATACGCTTGCCCTGTGATCTGGACTCCATTTAGAAGGGAAATAAACTTGGGGTTGCTATCATCATCATTATCATCATCATCATCACTAGTACGTATTTACAGTTTGCAAAATTATAGATGTTAACTTATTAGACCCTTATCACAACCCTGTGAGGTAGGGGCTACTATTATCTCCATTTTATAGCTGAGGAAACTGAGGCACAGTAAGTTAAATGACTTGCCCAGGGTCATAACTGGTGTCTGAGGATGGATTTGAACTCAGGTTTTCCTAACATCAAGTCCTACACAATGTCCACTACATCATCTAGTCGACCAAATAAGATCAAATGAAATAATATTCATAAAGTGCTTAGCACAGTGCCTGGAACATAAAATGCCTGTATCCTTCCCTTTCCAATTAGAACAACTGCCTAATGTTCTAATAAGTTCTTCTTTTATCACATAGCCATATATAATCATTCAGACTATCCTGAGGGGTTTAGACTTCCCAGAAAGAAATGCCCTTGTGGATACTACTATCCAGTCAATGCCCTGACTTTTCTCTAGAAAGTTAAGATTCAGGAAATACCACCACTTGGACCATATGGTTCTTTTTCTTCACAATTTCCATGTCGTGGAGATTGTGCATATCTTTATCCCTGGTTCTCAAGGCCTGGGGTCCAGGTTCTCAGATTTCAAGGACTTGGGGTCAAGCCTTCCTCCTTGACTTCTCTGCCGTATTTTATGTTCTTGACCACAAAGCTTGCAACACTGAGTGCCGGCCCAACCAGATTAAAGTGTAATTGAGAAATATTTAGCAAAATAAATATTCAATAAAACATAGATAACATTCTATTTTAAAACTAAGTAAACAGATGGGCCAATAGGGATCCTTATCTGTCGGTTAGTGGCCCCTATTTCCCTGCTTTTAAACCCACTTTACTCCTTTCTGGGTTTTTATGACACTGCTCTCTCCTAGTTCTCCTTTTACTGCTTATCAACCATAACATGCTTAGTCCCTGTAGATGTTCCCCAAGGTTCTGTCCAGGCCACCCCTGCTTCCTGCATTCTCTCTCTGTCACTTCACCAGCTCCCAAGAGTTCAATCATCAGCTCTATGATGATCTTACAGATCTATGTACCCTACCCTAGCCTGGTCTCTCCTCCAAACTTCAGTCCCACACCTCCAACTACCCATTAGACATTTCAAAGTGGATGTCCCAGACACATCTCAAACTCAATAGATAGGCAAAGTGCATTTTGTCATCTTTCCCCACTAAATCTACCCATGTTCCAAACTCACTTCTTTCCATCGAAGGTACCATTGATCTTCTAGCCTTCAGATTCCTAACCCTGACATTGTCCTCGTCTCCTCGTTCCTCCTCAAACCACATCTCCAATCAGTTGCGCAATCCTGCCATTTCCTTCTCTACACTGTCTCTCACACATGACCCCTTCTTGCTACTCACACAGTCACCACCTTAGTGCCCGTCCTTCTCACTGCTTATCTGGACTATTGCGATGGCTCCTCACCGGCCTCAGTGCTTCACATCTCTGACTACTCTGATCCCTCCTGTACACAGTTGCCAAAATGATTCTTAGGTTCAGATCTGACTGTGCACTTCCCCTCCTCAATAATTTCCTCCAGAATAAAATATAAAGTCTTGTGTGTTTCTTTTAAAGCTCTTTACAAAATTGATAGCAACCTATCTTTCTAGCCTCATTACATATTATCTATTACTTCAATGTTATTCCAATGTCACTCCAACATTACTTAAGAGTTATCCCTGACTCTAAGGTCCAGTCAAACTGGCCTTTCTGTGCCTCGAGCACCGCCTTCTATCTGCCATCTCCAGGCATTGCATTGGCTCTTTTTATCCCAAGGGCCTGGAATGCACTCCCTCCTGACCTCCACCTCACAGATTCCCTCCCTTCCTTCACGGTGCAGCTGAAGCACCCCTTCCCACATCAAGGTTTTTTGTTCCCCCAAATGCTAGTGCTCTCCCCCTCCACAACCACTGGATACTTAGCTACCTTGTATTTATTCTTTATTTGGGGGCTGATTTTCAGCTTGTTTGTTAAGAAGCCCTGAAGCACACCTGCCTAAAGCAGAGAGGGGCTGCCGGGGCAGTTGTTCCATCCAGTCCTGTCCTGGCTCCTAACTGGGTCAGGGCACACACATTCCTTTCACTCCTTTCCCTGAGCCTGTGGTCCTCACCTCTTGCTGAGTCTTTATAAGGGCTATGAAAAAACACACTACTGCTTTTCATTTGCCCTTTCAACTCCTTCCATGCTTCTGGCAACTGGTGCCAGGCCATGCAAATTACCCTGAAGCTTCAATACTCCTCCTGGATGGCATCCCTTGCAATGCTGGAGGCTGAATGCCATGCATTCCTGTTACCCCAGCCCAATGTCCTGTTCCTTTTACACAATCACAAATGCTCCTGGGATGACCTGTTTTTAGGTCTCGTGCCAAACTCTGTGCAGGGTCATTTTCTCCTCCATTGCTTTTGTTATTTTGAGAGCCAAGATCATGCACATTCTCCTCCTCCATGATATCTTGTAAAAGAGTTTATACTCTAAGCTACAATTTTCCTTGGCTGCCATGTTTCTCCTCTTAGGGGTGAGATCAAGGGTTTGTGGGTTAAGACAGTTTCCAGAGTCTTCTGGCCACTTCATAGCCTTTGTTTCATATCAATTAAACTTCCCTGGGAACTGGAAATCATCAGAGGGATTGCTGACTTTTTAGTTATTACTTATTAGCTATTTTTCAGAGTCAAAGACTCATCCAAGAAAGGCAAGTCAGTGCCATTGTAATTGCTTGAAGGGTCTTTTTCTTGCCTTTTGTCCTGTCTTCTCATTTGCTATTGATGTTAATCTTTACTTTCACCAGTCAAAGAACTGGCTACAAGCAGTAGGTTCTTAGATGACTCCATCAGTAATCAGTTGCTTTTTATCTCTTGAGAGACAGTAAATTTCACATTTTTTGATGTTATTTAGGACTCCTCAGCACTTTCTGACTTTTCTTTTTGAAGGGCCAGTGTGCTACTAATGCCATGAATAGCCTGATAGAATTATCACCCCCCCCACCCCCAGGAAAAAAAATAACCCTCATGCTCCCCTGGTCCCTTCTCATACTGACTCTGATCTGGCTCTACCAAAATCCAAATCCCAAGTCTCCTGACCCAGGAACAAGAAAAAACAAAGCAGGGTGACAAGGCACCGTCTTCTGCAGGGTAAGATGCCCTCACCAGAGAAGTGGGCAGTGTCCTGCTGTGTCTCCAAGCTGTTAGGAGAAGTCATCAAGTGAGTATGGGGATCACCTCTGAAGGACTGCTCACCATCCCTGGCACCTGAGAATGAGCACACTGGACTCACTGCTCACCCAAATAAGTAGGTTGGGGCTTACCTTCAGGATTTTTTCTTTTTTTCTGGTGTGTGTCTGCAGGAATAATAATAATAATAATAATAATAATAATAATAATAATGCCTAGCATTTACATAGCACTTTAAGGTTTGCAAAGGGCCTTACAAATATTATCTCATTTGATCCTCACAACAACCCTGGCAGATAGGTGCTATTACTACCCCCATTTTACAGATGAGGAAACTGAGGAAGAGAAAGTGACTTGACCAGGGTCACATAGTAAGTAGCTGAGGCTGTGGCCTTCCTGACTGCAGACCCACCACCATACTCACTGTCTTGCTACCTAGCAGCCTGGGAAGAAGTAACAGTAGGGTCCATCGGCAGCCATCCTAAAAGCCCTATGCTGTAGAAATCTTGACCCTGAGACCCTTCCTGAAAGCAAAGCCCAACATTTCTGGAATGACCCTGTTTTTTGCTTCTCTGCCACCTGCTTGGGTATCCAGGTGTTCCCCAAATTGGTTCACACTCACTTTGTCAAACATAAAGACTTTATTGATTTGGCCTTTGAAGTTCTTCAGGACAGAATCAATGTACACACTGGAATCCTGGATGGCCTGGCCAAGATCATCAGCCGTCTCCTGCCCTTTAAACTGCAGATTGACAAATACAATCGTCACAGGTCGGAGCTCAGACAAATAACCTCTCAGCTGCTTGTCATCAATCTGGAAAACAAGAGCCAAACACAAGTGTCCCCTAAGCAGGCCAGTCACAGGCACTGGGATCCCCCACTTAGAGACTGGTCTCAAGACTACACTTATCTCCAGGAAAGCTAACCTTTCTTGAAAGCCCCTGGTCCCTCCAAGGCGAGGCTCAGTGGAGATGCCCCCTCCTGCCAGAGGCCTTTTCTGAATCCCCCAGGTCCTACTGCTGCCGCCATACTGAAATTATTTTGTTTTTACCACCCCCCCATTTGTGAAGCTGACAAATTTAACTCCATAATAAAACCAAATTCAACATTGGCTTGAAAGTTACAAAATTGTGAAACTAACTTAAATTATCTCCCTCATATCAAGTTACTTTAAAGAGGTTAAATATGGAGTATATATATATATATATTTAAACTTATTTTTTGAAGCATGGCTATTTTTGCCTAGTAGAATGCAAACTCCTTGATGGTGATGGCCCTTCCATTTTTGTCTTTGCATTCTGGGGACCAAGCAAAGTGCCTGGCAGAACAGGCAGTCAGAAGATGCTTTCTGAATTGTATTGAATTGATCAGAACTAGAATCTTAAAATATGTGGAGTTTAACATGGTGGACCCATCACCAGCTAATAGTTGTGAAATTGAGAGGTAGCATGGGGTAGGGGATTTTGGAAAAGGGAGTGGGAGACTCCCTGGGTTGGAATCCCAGCTCTTATGAGTTTTGTGGCCATGGAATAGTGCCTTACCCTGTCTAAGCTTCAGTTTTCTCACATGTAAAGTAGAAATAACTGCCCACGCCCAAGGCATTGGGAGAGAAATGCTTTGAAAACCTTAAAACATTTTACAAATGTAAGTCGTTGAGACTGAGAGCAGCATAGCACCATAAGAAGGAAGGAAACATGTATTAATTAGGTGCCTACTATGTGCCAGCCAAAGCATTTTGTAGCACAGTGGACTGAGTGCTGGGCCTGGAGTCAGGAAGACCTGAGTTTAAATCCAGCCTCAGCCATCTAACCTCTGTTTCCCTCAGTTACCTCAACTGAGGGAAATGGGACAATAATAGCAACAATCTCTCAGGATTGTTGTGAAGATCACAAGAGAAAGTATTTGCAAAGTGCTCAGCACAGTGCCTGGCACAGAGCAGATGTTTAATAAACGCTTGTTTCAAAGGAAAGAAACAAGTGTTTATTAAACAACACATGTATACATGTCTATATACACATAACATATACATATAACAACACACTTGTAGATACATACAACATACATGTGTTTAAAATATATTTAGTTTAATTTAGATATATTTAGTCTCTGATGAGACTTAAATGGGATTATATATACACACACATATATATACACATATGCCTACATGCCTGTATATTTAAATTCACATATATGTAGATGTATATGTTTGTGTGTGTATGTGTGTGTGTGTGTGTGTGTGTGTGTGTAATCCCACTTAAGTCGAATCAGAATCTTATGAGGTTCTTATAGGTTTTATTACTCCCAGTGTACAGATGAGAAAACTGAGGTCGTGACGTGCCTGCAGTCACATCGCTAGTTAACATTAAAGGCATCGTTAGGTCCTCCGCGCTGTACAGGTACCAGGACTGGCAGTGGGGGAGATGGTTTGAAGCCTCAGGTCAACCTGCTGTCCCTCAAATTATGCTATGTCAGGGCCTGTGTCTTCTTGCAACTGCGCATCCTCCCTTAAGAGAGAACATGCCTGGAGGGGCGGGGACTCAGGAAATGTTCATGGATGGTGGGGGTGGGGTAGCAATGGAGTGATTCAGGGGCCCCGACACACTTGGAGGGGCACCTTGGGTTTTAATTGGTTCTAAAGTCAAATGTCTTTCCCTATCCTATGAAAGGAGAAAAAAAAAACAAGTCTACCGTTCATCTCTGAAATCCTTCTGCTGTTCGGTTCATAGAGAAACCACATGATTTCCACCCCTTTTCTGATTTAAAGAGAATTACTTTCATACTAAATCTTATGATCTTTTTAAATGATCAGAGTCAACAGCTGAGTAAAAGTCAGTGACTGCAATGACTGAAATACCTGCTTCAAAATACTTCTCATGATATACTTTTGTAGAGAGATTTCCAGGTTGGGGTCAGACTCCAGGGTAGAGGCAAGTCTCAGAATGTCTAAGAAAGAAGAAAGAGATTGGCTTTGGAAAAAATCTAGGCAGAGCGGTCACTTAAAAAACAAGCAGCATCCTCACTGTGACGTGATTCTGGAGCCACATTTACAACGTGGAATTACGTGGAATTATGTGGAATTACGTGGAATTACGTGAGCCCCAAAGAACCACGTGAAGATTGTATCCTGAATTGGAGACTCCATTATAGAGCCATATGCCTCCCCTAGAACAGTGAAGCTTCCATGAGTATCTCGTCCTCTAGAGTCTTACTCTGGAGCTCCATGATGGCATGGAGGTGACTCTGGGGTCTTGAAGCCAAAGAGTAAGCAAGTCTTCTCATGCCAGAAAGACTTCTGGTACAGTCCAGGTGAAAGAGTATGTTTGCTTTCCAAATGTCACCTTGGGCTCAAAAGGCCATTTGCAAAAGACTGGTGGAGATTGATTACTCAAGAAAACCATGATCTCTCTTCTTTCTAGCTCTCGTCAACTGGGCCTGTCCCTCACACAGGTGAGAAACAGTCAGAAAGCAGTCTCTACCAATGAGAAAATCCTGTGCAAATGGTCCTTACAGCCAAGGGTCACACAAGGGCAAGGGTACCTTAGTTGGGAGAATTCCATCACCAGTAGGCTGTCCACTAAGTAAGGAATTTTTTTGGCAGTGGCAACTCATGAAACAAAGAAAAATATAAAATGTTTTTCATTCTAATGAGGCCCCCTTTTATGTCTGCCGTGACTGAAGCAAACTGGCAGTTTTTAGATACAGTTTTTAGAGCATAATTTATACGATGCTTTTTAAGGTTCCAGAGCACTTTACATATGTTAACTTACTTGATCGTCACAACAATCCTGGGAGGTAGGTGCTATGATTATCCCTATTTTACAGCTGAGAAAACTGTGGCAAACAGAGGTTAAATGATTTGCCAAGGGTGACTCAGCTAGTAAATGCCCAAGGCAGAATTTGAAATCGGGCCTTCCTGATTCCAGGTACAGCACTCTATCCACTGTGCCACCCAGCCTCCATCTATGAACATTAACTGTTAGGACTTTGAATGTGAGATCCTTGTCTCAAAAGCATCAAGCTGACATGCCATTGGAGACACTGCATCATATCAGTCTGAATATTCTCAGTATCAATGAAACCAGAAGATATATATGGAATTTGAAGTTAAATGAAAGGTTGGCTCACAGATTCTCCAGAGAGAGGAAAATAAAGGTGTTGGAATACAACTGTGATGACTCAACTGTCACTGGGGGGAAAAATAGCTTGTTATAGAAACATTTAGAAGACTTTTCCGTTCTTTGTTGCCTTCTTCCAGTTTCATCTTTAAATGCTCTTAGGATGAGTTGGTTTAATAGGATCTTTTACTGTATTCTATAAAGTCATTTTTCTTTCTACTGCTTTTCAATGTTTTATATGGCAATACTGCTTAGTTTTCTACCATCCTCTCTAAAATTTTCAACATTATTTTATATTGTAAATTAGGCTGATTATGTGTCTGCTAGAATAGCCTTCAAAACTCCAGAGTCTGCTCCATGCTACAGTTTGGCACCAGAATAGGACTCTTAGGAAAGAAATACTGGTGGATACTTTATAATGTTAAGTGGCATTTAGGTTTAGATTTATCAGCATCCAAAGGCAAACAGAGGCTCTGCTTGGGACATTTGGTCACCTCATCTTGCAATGAACAGGATGAGCATTTACAAAAAGACCCCTATGAAGATAATTGCAGGGCATGTGGTTACATCTTTTGCAGGGGATGAGGAAATACAGAAATTATATGAAGAGTTCAAGGAAATTTTCCAAAGTTAATGAACATATATTTTAACATTTGGTGACTTCAGTTCAAAGGTGAGGCATAAGGGAGGACAGTGAATAAATTTTAGAAAATTTGACTGAGGATGACTATATAATAAATAGTTTCTTAAGGGGTTGACTTGGGGGGGTGCTGGACGTGGCAAACACCAAATAACGTTACAAAAAATGAAACCGACTGTATCTTAAGAGAAAGAAAATAACTGATTGCTAATGTGTTGCAGTGAATAGCGTTCAGGGCCTGGAGTCAGGAAGACTCATCTTTCTGAGTTCAAATCCAGCCTCAGACTCTTACTAGCTTTGTGATCCTGGGCAAGTCACTTAACCCTATTTATTTCAGTTTTCTCATCTGTAAAATCTGGGGAAGGAAATGACAAACCACTCTAGTATCTTTGCCAAGAAAACCTCCAAAAGGGGTTACAGTCAGACATGACTGAAAAATGACTGGACACAACGATGTGAGTATAATTTTCAAATTAGTAATTTGTGACAGATCATCAACTTGGAAGAGAAAAGATTGAAATCAACACCAAATTAGGAGAAAAATAAATATGAGATGATATGGTACACATTTAAGGGACTCTGACCTGACCTATTTAAATGAGCTATTGATGCCTAACAATGGGAATCTGATAAAACAACAGACATTGACACAGATGATCATCATTTCCCAGTGAATTTTAACTAAAGTAAATCATGAAGTCTAAAATGAAGAGTTCTACAATGAAGCGTCTAAAAGAGTTTAAAAAAAAAAACAACTAATGCGATCAACAAATAATCTCTTTGCTAAGCAGAGAGATAAACAGCCTGGTTTACAATATAAATTTGCTTGGAAAATTTTACAGAGGATAGTAGAAAACTAAAAAGTATCACCTCATAAAACTTTGAAAAACAAGAGGAAAAAACAATATTAAAGAAAATAGCAAGAAACTTAATTAAACCAACTCATCCCAACAGCATTTAAGGATAAAATGGAAGGACAACAAATAGCTAAATAATAGAAATCACATAAATATTTCTATATTAAATTACTTCCTCCATCATTGCTAATATGGCACAGTGAATAGAGTACTGGATCTGGAGTCAGGAAGACTCATCTTCAGTTGAGTCACTACTTTTAGGCTCTCATATCAGTCTCCAATTTGCTATATTAGTAAGTAGAACTGGAATTAAAGAAAATAATGACAGGAAGAATAATGATACTAGCCTAAATGTATCTGGAGGAGGTCCATGCTAGAAGCAACAGTTTTGTGGGTATAGAGGGATTGATTTTCAAGTAGTCTAAACACAGGAGAATATACTAAAAGCAAGGGGGGAAAATCACAGACCTAATTATTACCACCTCCCTAAAAACTGAGAAAACATCAATAACTTTTGGCTTATCTACCTTCTTTGCCATCTATATACAATCTTTATAAGAATAACCAACATATATATGTGCATACACACACATACACATATATATGTGTATATATATATACATATATACACACACACATATATGTGTATATTTATATATATACATATACACACACACACACACACACACACACACACACACACACACACACATATATATATATATATTGGTGAGGCAATTGGGGCTAAGTGACTTGCCCACAGTCACACAGCTAGTAAGTTTTATGTGTCTGAGCTCAGATTTGAACTCAGGTCCTCCTGACTCCAGGGCTGGTATTCTATCTACTGTGCCACCTAGCTGTTGAAATATCTTTGAAAATATGAGCTAGGAACATGTAGGCTTTAAAAAATAGTATTCTAGAACAGAATACATATTTAGACCACACAATTGATTTATAGATTCAGAGAATAGAAGACCCCATTGTACTTCTTGTGTACAAAGGTGCCACTGTCACTGAACCGTTAGGTCTGCTTAGATCACTGCCATGATCAGGCCAGGATTTGCTGAGTGGTTCAGAGTTCCTTTCATTCCCATTCTGTCAAACCAAACAACTGCAGAGACACCTTGGCACACTCATATATGACCTTGAATGAGCTCTGACGAATGCTGAGAATGTCATATTGTTGCAGACAGATTCAGCCCCTTTCAAAGAATGTACCCAGCCCTAATGCAGAAATGTAATCATGTGTTTATTATGTCATTTCTTGGTGAACTTTGTGACTTGGCTTATGGGTGGTATACTGTTACAAGGAAAAACTACACACTTAAGAATGGTGGCAAATTCTTCCTGAAATCTATTCTTATCCAGAACCAAAATCATGGGGAAGAGGCAAGTATGGGGGCAGCACCTGCCTTTCAGTGGAACTCCTTGATGCCCTGATACCCATTCTATCTTTTCAATTAACACTGGCCAATATAAGCCTAACTTGGCCAATGGTAGTGATGGCAAATTAATTAATTTGTAAATTAATTGCATTGCATAGGGAGATAAATGTATTTTTGAAAAACACTTTTCTGTTTGAGAAACAACATCCCAATTTATAGAGGAATTGTCATTCCTAGTTACTGTTTAGGTACCACTTCCTATCTGATGCCTTTGTGATCCTTCACCAATTGGAAATTAACCTTTCCCATTCTCTAAAATTACGTCTATACTTTGCGTAGATTTTGAGTTTGCTTATCTGTTACATGTTGTTTCTTCTCAGGATAGTAAAAGACCCTTGAGGACAAGGACTGCTGACTACCATTTTAGTCTTTACATCTTCACTATCTAGCAGTGTCTGGAACATGGCAAACACTTATCATTAGAAAGACCAGAAGCATCAATTGCAGCAAAATTTTAAAATCATCATTGCTATCTTTATTTTTGCTTTATGGATTAGAAAATGCAATTCATCAATCGATGTAGCTTGGTCCTTTGAGGTATTCTTAATCCTGGTCCTTCCTTAATAAATGTTTATTGAATTGAATGGAATGTTTCATTGACAGTCCCCTGAAGTCCAGATTGGACTTTTAATGCTTTAGCACGGTCCAATGGAAAGAGTACTGACTTTTGAAGGCAAGAGATCCAGGGTCAGGTTCTGCTTCGGACACTTACTACATGTATGACTCTAGGCAACCATTTTCCCTCTTTGGGCCTCAGCTTCTTCATCTGTAAGCTAAGGGGCTTGGGTTACATGGCCTCTGAGGTCCCCTCCAGCTTTAAATGACCATCGCTACCATGACCAATGAAATGTTACTGTATACATTGTTCTTCTGTTTTTTCTCATTT